GATATTGCTGCTAATTTATTATGTGAGGGACTAATGTAGAATATCTTTTGATAGAGTGTGTGTGCACCGGTATTGATCTGGAGCATAGATTATATAGTGTGTGTGTGCATACAAACACGCGCAACGACAGCTGGAGTTGATAGCTAAGAAATCACACGAACCAGAGGAGATGACATTGAGGTTGTTTCAACTCACACGTAGCATGGATACTATACGAAACATCTGTTTTCGTCTCGACACCGTACCGTACCGTACCACTTTTTAGGCATGGTAATGTTCAGGTACAACGAGCGCGCACCTCCATCTGTCCGGAACCACCTAGCAGCGTGTACGGAACCCGAAGAATGGCTATTTAGGCTGCTAACGGTTCAAATCGTGACGCCGAAGTCAGGTAGGCAAACCAACGAGAAGAGAGGATCTTCTGAGGGCGATGTCGAGGGATCGAGCGCGGCCACATCAACAACTGTGGAAGCAGCGTGCTGTCCATGGAAAGTGCAGCCATGATCACACTGAATGCCACCAACAGCGAGGCCATACGTGGAATGAAGGAAAAAGGAGCCATACGTGGAATGAAGGAAAAGGAAACGTTTCTGATTACAAACGGAAGCCAGCTATGTCTGTTCGACACCCAGGGGACACTTCCTGAGATTCAGACGCCACTAGGCCCCGCTCTGATTGATACTGGTTCGGCTACAAATCTGGTCCATTCCGAATATGCACCGGCAAAGAAAGAAGCCTATGCCAAACCAACTCTCATTGACGCAGGTGGCCAACCACTAGATATAGCCGGTATACAATAATGGATGTTACCCTACCAGGAGGTCGACAGGAACATAGTTTCGCTTGGACTACCCCTAACTTACCTATTACAGAGAGTGGCTCAAGGGAGATAGATATTTTACTAAGATGCATCACAACGGGGAATAGGAGCATGCCTCTTTGCTCTCCGGAAAGACGAGATAGCCAGATATGTGTTTGTCTATTATCTCATACCCAGCGTTACAAGTAGACGAGCCGGCCAGAATTCATACCCAGCGTTACAAGTAGACGAGCCGGCCAGAATTCATACCCAGCGTTACAAGTAGACGAGCCGGCCAGAATTCATACCCAGCGTTACAAGTAGACGAGCCGGCCAGAATTCATAAGTTCTGCTCATTAGACTTGATGACTATTGCGGAACATGAAGCTGATGGTGTGTGGGCACGATCGCCTTCCCAGTAACACGCGTGTTGTTTGTTGAGGATGCTACTCTCATAGAGTCTTTTTCCTTCTGAACTTCGGACAATGACGTTGGGCCAGCCCCCATTCCTTCCATTTGGGTATGAGGACTGCAGGTTACACACGACCCTTGTTGATTCTATGGACCCGAAGTCATCGGACTCCAGTGGAGATATGGAAATGCCACCGACTCGTCGCATCATGGCGACATCTACTGGATTTGACAGCAACATCGAACAGCCATTAACGGCCATCAGAATCTGGCCAACGTACAAAATCTACCCCGCGAGCAGAACGCAGCACACGCATGCCTGTCACCGTTTTTTGAGTACACGGCATCGACTTGTTTCTCATCGACTTGTTTCTAATGTACAGCTGGTGGGTCGAGGGGATAGTCTAGTGATTTATGTTAGATGGGTGTGTGTATACCGGCGCACACACATTCTATAAAAAGATATTCCACATTATGCCTTTTTTGATGAGATTCGATAATGCTCATAAAATGTTTCCCCTTTTTGGAAGGCGGTAGATTATGATCTGGATGTCTCCTCTTCATCTGTTCAATGTGGTGGTTACAGGTTGTCAACAGGGTTAATAGCCATGCGCACCACTGGTCCTGGAGAATAATCAAAAAAAGGGTTATCAAGGCGCGGGTGCTAAGCTAGGGTGACTTAAGCGTTCGCTGTGGCTGTGGCCTCTCACCTTTCGGGGCACACAAGGATGTAGTATTCCTGCCCTTGGAATGCTCTAGGGCCCACATAATCCATGCTTACGCCACTCATGAAGAACAGGGGATTGCGGGCACAGATGGCGCACTCTTGGACGAAGTGCTGTGCGAACTCCTTGGACCGTGGCCACAGAACAGTTCGGACATGTTCCTGTGGGTCTTGGTGACGCCTTGATGTCCGCCGCGCTCTCCCATATGGTACCTAGCTGTCAGCTTAGACCTGAGTCGAGTCGGGATGTACAACGTTTTGGTCTTGCAACGTTCATATAGGCCGTCTTCTCTGTTGAGGAGGTTTTGCAACTCATCCACAGGGACGTCGTCGTCCTTCAGAAGGAACTTGTTACGTGACGGTTGCTGGAATAGGTTCTGGCTGACCTCGGCGAAATGGACTGCAAACGGTCGATTACCGATGTGCATAGCATCGAGATCCCGATCATGGTCCTCGTCGTCCTGGAGCCTAGACATCGGCGACGTAGTTGTTATCTCCTGGGATGCAACTGAACTTTAAGTCGTATTGCTGGAGGAACAGAGCCCATCGACCTACCTTGCCTGTGTCAATCTTCGCTGGGAAAGTGAGATTGCGGTGGTCGGTAAGGACCAGGGTGGGTCTCAGCCGTATGTAAGCGTCCCACTTGGTCACCAAGTATTTGACCGCCCACAACTCTCTTTCTCTCGCGTCCCAATTACTGAGCTTGGGTGAGCTTCTTGCTACCGTACTCGATCACTTCCAACCTGCCATCGTTGACCTGGCGCAATACCGGGTCGGCGAGAGCAATACAGTAGGAAAGGCCGGACTCCTTTTGGAGATTTTCTAAGATAATCGGAATAGAGAACGCGTCATCAAGCATCTGTTTATTGACTTGCCGGTAGTCTATTACGACCCGGTAGTCGCCTGTTACGAATGGGACTACGAATGGACGAGAGCTCCACGGCGATTTATTCGGACGTATGAGGCCTTTCGAAAGCTGGGAGTCTACCTGGCGTCTGAGCTCTTCCTCAGCGGCCCGCGGCAATGGCATCAGTCTTGAACCTGGTCGGTCAGCCCTGAACCTGGAAGTTTGCCTCATATTTCGACTGCCCACTCGTCGGGCGCAGGAACGCCCTCTCGTTTCTCTCCAATACTTCCCACAGCGTCTGTCTCATTCAGATGTGATGCACGCTTCCGTACTCCATCCCTAGCCTCTCGGATCAGCTCCTGGTCTGTCAGCGATTCGTCTACGCCTGATACGACATGCCGGGCTAGAGAAGGACACCCCCCTGGCGACATTGTCTCTACCGCGCGCGGCATTTCCATTGTCACCGTCCCTTGTTCTCGACGCAGACTAGCCAAGTCTTTCAGCGCGTCCAAACGTCGGCGCCGGAGATTGTCGTGGGCAAGACTGTTGAGGGACTTGGCCTTGTCGACGGACGTCCTGTCCTGAGGCATTCTTATGTTGATGGCCCCGGGCGATTGTCCACGGCTATGTCCACTTGTCCTTGTTGCTCAAACTTCTTTACGGCACACAAGTTTTCGGTATGGCCCTTCCTGCCGCAACCTGCGCAGAAGAACTGTCGCTTCGGGCACTCGCCTTTCCAATGACCAAGTTGGCCGCACGCTCTGCATGGTCGGCTGTCGAATCTCCTTCTGTTCGCAGCTCCGCTTGCGTCACGGCAATTGTTGGCCGCGTCTTGCATCGGGTAGGCGTCAGCTATTTGTGCTATTATGACCAGTGCGAGATCTGCTTCTGTACGCGCGGTTAGAGAGTTGGGGGTGTACAGGGCTTCAATAAGCTCCAGTGACCCGTCGTACGCAGCTTTTTCGTGTCGTACCTGGCGTTGGTAGGGAGGCACCGCAACACGGCGCGGTACGCCCAGCGTTTGCAGAACCGGAACTCCTCGTCCCCGCGTACATCGCAAGTAATTCGAGCTGCTTCGTCAGGAACCTCTGGAAGGCGTTGCGGAAGGGTTGGAGACCCTGCTTCTCGGTTATTGACATCTTGTTCTAGAATGCTGTATTGTCTTCACTACGTGCTCTGTCAATCGAGATAACAGGAACAGGGGTGGTGAAGATGAGATCGGCTTTGTTACAATCGACCGCAGATACAATCGGATACAGCCGATCGCAGGCTAATTGACCTATGACAGGTTCGATATGATTTTCAATCCCGCGACCGTCCCGGATTGTCCCCATGTGTTTATTGATGTTCTTGATAATGTCAAGGGTAAACGTGTGTTCATTGTTTGCCCTCCCAAATAGGGCTTGTACAGGTGATATTTCGTGAGGAAACTTCGGAGGGAATCAACTCCTGTGAAGAATTGGTCGATTGATTATTTCTGCTGGTGCTCTGGCAATAGGATGATATAAGCTATTGTAATCAGACACTAGAAATTGGGCCAAATTCGTGTGCCAGTTTCTATGTGAAGTCCGAAATGAATGATCGAGGATCCTCGATCATTAATGATCCTGTTTAGTACTATGAATGGTTTGAACCATCGACGTGTCAAGTTCTCCCATAGTACCGCCGGAGGAACTATTTTGTCCCTTTGAAATCCCTCCCAACATCTATTGTCGGCTAATATTTGTCTTCGTAGCCGGATCCTCGGAGACGCACTGGAGGCAACGACCTCCTTCAAACTCCAACCTGTTGTGGACACCACTCCGAACATACCAATGAAGAGCAGATTACCTCGCACAAAGTCTATTGCCGTATGCCTTCTCCGGATACATGTCAGCCACTGTTTAGCCCTCGGTGTCGACTCTGCTACTAACGTTGCTCGTACCATTACGTATTCAGCGTATGTCTCCTGTGCTCGTGCCATAGCGTGTGTTGCCTGTCCTGGGTCTTAACCAATAACTGGAATTCTTACTCAAAGCATGCCAATGTCTCGCCCGAGATGAGGGGTCATGCCCACATTCCCCTCCTCCAGTAACTCCTCATCGGACTTGTCCTCTTCCACCATCGACACAGCATTACTTTGTAACAGCTTTCGACGTGAAACTGACTCCGCTCGGAATCGAAGATTCCTAACTTCAAGATTCCTAACTTGATTCCCCAAGATTAGCTGGTCACCGTTGATGTCTTCACTCGTATACAGCATGCTGTCCGCCTGGCAGTCTTTCGTAGCCAACGCTGTCCGTCTTACAGTCTTTCGTAGCCAACGCTGCTCTGAACAGCGGGACCTGCTTTCTCGTGAACAACCCCCGTATCATTCCTGCCCCAGCCTCCTCTAATCCTAACGCACTAGCCAGCTCGTAATTCACTATCGACGTGGTTGCTCCGTGTCCAAAAGTGCCTTCTTTTTCTCCCTCCTTTCCGCGCGCTTGTTCTCTTCGAGCTTATTAATTTTTGTAGCCGCCTCCAAACACGCGTCATAAAAAGCCCTCTTGGAATTGAGGGTGGCCGTACTTGTTGTCACACAGTCGAAAGTCCTTCGTCTCGTGACCTTTCTTGTGACAATTACTGCCCTCCAATCCCAGGCCGGGCACGGACATTCCGATCCCAGCCGTTCTCCGCGAAACAAACGGCGCCGTTGCTCCAGTGGTTACCGCAGGGTAGGCCTTCTCACCTCCTTTCATGCAGATCCTCCAGCTAGCCTCCCTCCTCTCAATCATCCACCGTAGCAAATCCTCTAACTCAGTGAAGTGTTCCGGATCCTTGTTTTCATTGACCGGGAATCCGGAGCCATCCTGTAGAAGGATACTCCGTAGAAGGTTATCCAACTCACCATACGGATCTTCAGGCCACTACAACCTACTCAACTCTCCACTCATCGCCCAGAGTTCTCTTCTTCGATCGAAGCGCTTATCCTGTCAATAAAGCCTTCCAAGTCGTCCGGGTCGCCACGCGTGACCTTTTGAGCACGGTGCCGCCACATCGGAGACGCTATCCCACTGAGGACCTCCGCTAGCAAACTCAAACTCGGACGCTCTGCGTCAATCCTAATTGCCACTTCATCTATTGCCTTGCCGAGTTCTCTCTCTGTCTTCGGATCGAACTTCAGTCCTTCAACACGAGACATACGATTCCGGCGAGTCAATTCATACTCGTGCGATCCAGCACGTATGGCATGTTCCTTGGGCCTATAGAATCTCGAACAAGCTTCTCCGCAGCACCGCTCACGTTCATCATTGTCGTCTTTGTACCTGACCACATCTACACCAGAGCCAATCCTGGTCTTCGAAGTAGATCCTTGTTGGTACCGCCATTCTGAGTTGTCGCCCTCGGTTCTCTCGATCCCTCCGGTGGCAGGCTCGGTTCTTTCAGCTGTAAAATCGCGGGTCATCTTAATAACGTCGTAAGACCTTTTGTTGTGTCCACGAAGAACAGGAACTTTCTTTTATAGGGGAACCGTCAGCCACGCTCAATAGTGCTATTGTGATCACCCGCGGTCTTACCGCTGACCAAACCGAGGCCGCCGTCGGAGGGATCAAAAGAACTGAGGGCGGCAACCCACTGACGTTGGATGTAGACGTGACGACTCCATCCACACACATCACGGCAACTGTCAATTTATTTTTGAGATCCGCCACAACTCGCCATTTGTACTCTTTCTCTTCGGTAACCTTTTCATTCAATTTCATTGTTCATTCACGCTCATTAGTAACACAGCAAGTAACTACGCCATCATCCACTGTAGTCTAGGTGGCTAGGATATACGGCTCTCACCCGTACG